GGGAAAGAGCGAGGGCGCAGAGGCCATGATGAAGCATGCCGCCTACAGGAGAGAAAGAAGGAAAAGGGAGGGCTGCCCTGGAGACGGCACGGCTGGGCAGTCCCCACCATTCTGCATCTGGATACCACCTGGCACCTGCTGGCAGTTACTGGTCCAGGGAAAGCAAGCCTGTGGAGAAGTAACTGAGACAGACGCATCGGGGACCTGTCCACAGAAAAACCCAAGTGGCCAGGAAAGCTAGCCCCTACCTGGGCACGCTAGTGTTTGTCACTAGGGTATATCCTTTTAAGAGTGCTTTTCAGGATGCTCCGTTGTTTTATTTTATATCGCCTTTCAAACTATGTTCAGAAAGGTGATATATTTTTATAAGGCTGTGTACTTGGAAGCTAACCGAACATTCTCTTAGACAATGAGAGAATTCAGACCCTTCAGGCCCTGCCTTTAGCTCTCTAGCACCGCCCAGAGGCAGGAACAAGCAAATACGCCTTTTCCTCTGCGCCATGTCGGCCAGCCTGGCAGTTGGCCATCACAGCCAGTCACAGCCAGCGCAGGCTCGGGCTGCTCGCAGAGCACCTGTTACCTGTGTGTGTGGTTTCCTGGCACGCGGTGGGCAGGGAGGAGAGGTGGAATGCGAGGTGGGGGTGGGGCGGGGATGCTGGGTGAAGTGGCCAGGGGCCCTACTTCAGACTTGCTCACTAGGAAAGAGGAGGAAGGATCCCTCTCTCCCCCCATTTCGGAGTAAATAATGCACAAGCGAGAGCAGAGCGTGGTACGCAGAAATGCCACAGAGGCGCCCTCTCGGGCCCAGAAGGCCGCAGGCTGGCCAGGGGCTCCAGGACTCCAGGCTCTCGTGCACACCTGGAAACCCTACGGGCGGTCCTTTCCGTACACAAGCGAATGCCAAGATGGCCCTGGTGCCTTTCACACAAGAGAAGGAGACAGCGTCCAGACCCGACAGCCAGACTGCGGGGCAGGGACGTGTCTGCAGTGCCCCGTGGACACAAGAGCTGCAGAGAGATTTACACAGACAGGGCTGGGGGACGGGCACCTCAGAACTCGGCTCGGCTTCGCAAGAGGCAGTGAGATGGGCATGGGGCCCGCGAGCCTGAGTGCCACTGGCTGGCTGTGTAACGCGGACAGACAACCATCTGGGTCTAACCTCGGCTTTCACTTTGGTAGCACAGGAAGCCGGATTCACAGACGCCAGCCACAATGAGCGGGCTGACAGTCCTCCACCCCGGCTGCCCACAGCTCCAGGGCAGCTTGGTATCCTGGCTTCACGGCACAACGGTGGGCGTGCCTCCCTGCTCCCGTGAGCTTTCTGCCCCGCATCGACGACTTTTAAATGAAGGCAAATAGAAATACGCTTCCCCACAAAAGGACATGTTCTGCCTAGCCCTGGTCTACGCTCAGTAACACACGGGCGGGACCGGAGGAGAGACGGACCTCGATTCCGCAGTTACTGTGTGAAGTGAGGAAAGGGGACGAGGAGGCCAAGCCTCAAGTTATTCAGCAGAAAGACTTTCAGGGAATATTCTGGACTGACCAACAGGGTTAGAGCAGAGGTGGGGAAACCAGAGGGAACTAGCCTGAACGGCCCTCCGACCGTGACCACAGAGAGTAAGGGCACATTTAATGAAGGTCCCAGCCTGGCCCTGTGGCCTAGAGGTTAAGGGGGGGGAGTCAGATCCCATATAGCCCACCAGCCAGTTCAAATCCTGGCCCCGGGCAGCTTGAGTAAACCCCAGCAGAATGGAGAAAATGGGAGAGAGGATTGCGGTGTGACTACACCCCACCGGGGATCATTTCTCCCTCTCCTCTTTCTGGCCAGCGCATGGGGCTCTGGTAAATAAAAATGAAACAAATCACGAAGGTCTCCATCACGGTCACCTGGTGAACATGAGAACTGGGAGAGGCACAGCAACCTGGGCCACGGGACGAGCAGTCCAGGCAGCAAGGTGGCTTCCTCGGTAGGCGGAGTGGGGCTAGGGTGGAGGGTCTGGGCTCTAAGAGCTGACAGCTTTGCTGGTGAAGGTGCAGCAGGGCCAGAGCAGGCAACTGGCCCGCCCGAGCTCACACAGCTAGTCGGGCACGAGAGGCCAAGCTGCAATTCTCGGCTCAGTGCTCCCTTTTGTATATATGTATTTTTTTTGAGAGGTTTTTGGTATAGGATGCATGCGCTCACCAGAAAGACAGAGAGACAGAAAGCGAGAAATCACCCCCTAGGGGGGATGGCCACGCCGCAATCCCTTCTCCTCCATTCTCCTCTCGGGATCTTGGACACACATGCACACGTGCCCAGCCTGAGTTTAAGCCACCGGGTCTGGGACTCGAACCGCAGTCGGCTACATGGGAGTCCAGCGACAGAGCCATTATGCCAACTGCTGGTCTTTCGGCTCAGTCCTCTCTAACCAGTGGATGCAGGTGCCATAGGGAACAGGCACCATGTCTGGGAGTGCAGGGGAAAGAGGGGCAGGAGGCAAGATGAAAGAGGAGAGCCTGGCCA